GTTACTGTGCCTTTAAAAAGTCCACCTCTACTCCACTCATTAATCTAACTTAATAGCACCTGTCTGAGCTCTTTAACCTCCTTGGCGGTATTCCCGAGTGTAGCTCGGGGTAACATTTTCAGTACCAAAGCGGTAACCCCGAGCTACACTCGGGCTTACCCTGCGGCACTGCTCCGGCATGTTTGTCTTCACTTACCTTACCCTGCGCTGAAAACGATTTTGCAACTTTGCTCAGAGATGTGCGAACTTGGCGCTCTATTTCACATTTCAGTGTTTTTGGTTTGATTATATTATTGAATTAAATTTTTTATTATTTTTATATTATTTTTATGATTATTTATTAAATTATAATTTATGATTTTGTGTTTCAAATTTTATCATACCCGGGATGTTTACTAGACTCTTGTTCGGACAGATTTCAGTGAGTTTTTCCTAAAAATTACAGCCTACAATAAAAAAAATACATATTTCCATGCAAAAAAATGGTACCGCTTTCAGCACCAAAAATCTGAAATAATCATACCGCCAGGGAGGTTAAAGACACCTGTCCACCCCACAGTCAGTCAGACGCCAACTACTACCATGGGCAAGACCAAAGAGCTGTCAAAGACACCAGAGACAAAATTGTCGACCTCCACAAGGCTGGAAAGGGCTACGGGGCAATTGCCAAGCAGCTTGGTGAAAATAGATCAACTGTTGGAGCAATTGTTAGAAAATGGAAGAGGCTAAAGACGACTGTCAGTCTCCCTCGGACTGGGGCTCCATGCAAGATCTCACCTCGTGGGGTATCACTGATGATAAGAAAGGTGAGGAATCAGCCCAGAACTACAAAGGAGGAGCTGGTCAATGACATGAAGAGAGCTGGAACCACAGTTTCAAAGGTCACTGTCGGTAGAACACTACGCTGTCATGGTTTCAAATCATGCATTGCACGGAAGGTTCCTCTGAAGTTTGCCAATGACCATCTGGATGATCCAGAGGAGGCATGGGAGAAAGTCATGTGGTCAGATGAGACCAAAGTAGAACTTTTTGGTCTAAACGTCACTCGTCGTGTTTGGAGGAAAAAGAAGGATGAGTTGCAACCCAAGAACACCATCCCTACTGTGAAGCATGGGGGTGGTAACATCATGCTTTGGGGGTGCTTTTCTGCGAAGGGGACAGGACGACTGCACTGTATTAAGGAGAGGATGAATGGGGCCATTTATTGTGAGATTTTGAGCAACAACCTCCTTCCCTCAGTCAGAGCATTAAAGATGGGTCGTGGCTGGATCTTCCAACATGACAACGACCCGAAGCACACAGCCAGGATAACCAAGGAGTGGCTCTGTAAGAAGCATATCAAGGTTCTGGAGTGGCCTAGCCAGTCTCCAGACCTAAATCCAATAGAACATCTTTGGAGGGAGCTGAAACTCCGTGTTGCTCAGCGACAGCCCTGAAACCTGACAGATCTAGAGGAGATCTGTGTGGAGGAGTGGGCCAAAATCCCTGTTGCAGTGTGTGCAAACCTGGACAAGAACTACAGAAAACGTTTGACCTCTGTAATTACAAACAAAGGCTTCTGTACCAAATATTAACACTGATTTTCTCAGGTGTTCAAATACTTATGTTCAGCAGTGCAAGACAAATACATTCTTTAAAAATCATACAATGTGATTTCCTGAATTTTTTTTTTTTTAATTCTGTCTTTCAGAGTGGGAATGCACCTACAATGTGAATTTCAGACCCCTCCATGATTTTTAAGTGGGAGAACTTGCAAAATCGCAGGGTGTTCAAATACTTCTGTTCCCCACTGTATATATATATATATATATATATGACTTTTTTTAGTTAATAGTGGTAATGCGGGGGAACGCATCTCCAGCATTATATATATGCAATGAAATGACAATGGGTGCTGGGGTGTGCTGGAGGGTCTATTGATGCTGGCGTCTGTTGCCTATTGTTGTTGGGGGAGATTTATTCTTGCAGAGGGGACGTCCTATGTTGCTATTGCTGAGGGATGGTCTATTGTAGCTGGCCGCTGGAGGGTCTATTGATAGTGGCTGCTGGGAGATCTATTGCTGCTGGTGGGGGGTTACTGTTGCTGAGGGGGTCTATTGGTTTTAGATCTATTGTTGCTGGTGGGTCTATTGTTGCTGGCTGCAGGAGATCTATTGTTGTTGGAGAGATACTGTTGCTGGTGGGTCTATTGTTGCTGGATTCAGGAGATCTATTGTTGTTGGAGAGATACTGTTGCTGGGGGGGGCAATTGTTGCTGGCTGCGGGAGATCTATTTTACTGCTTTTCTTGTTATCATTAATACATTTCATAAAAATTAACTTAGCACCAAAAAATGAAAGAGGGCAGTACTGGGAGGTGGGTAGGGGGTGGAACCAAATGACAGTGCTCAAAAGGTGGGTAGGGGCGGAGAAAAGGGGTGACACAAAAAAGGGGGAGTACCTGCACCTATTCTCTGATAAAAAAAGCTCTGTATGCAGTATATACTGTATATATATCAGATTTCAGTGCCAATTACCCACTTTCTCAAGCAACAAAAACCTAAAGAAACTGTAGCTGAAACTAAAATGTTACAATATATTTGAAGAAAATGTGAAAAAATGGACACAGCCAGGATATACTATGCATTCCCACACAAAAAGGAAAATGTAAAATAATGGACACACCCAGGGTATACTATGCATTCCCACACAAAAAAGAAAATGTAAAAAATGGACACACCCAGGGTATACTGTGCATTCCCACACAAAAAGGAAAATGTAAAAAAATGGACACACCCAGGGTATACTATGCATTCCCGCACAAAAAGGAAAATGGAAAAAAATGGACACACCCAGGGTATACTATGCATTCCCGCACAAAAAATAAAATGTAAAATAATAGACACACCCAGGGTATACTATGCATTCCCGCACAAAAAAAGAAAATGTAAAAAAATGGACACACCCAGGGTATACTATTAATTCCCGCACAAAAAGGAAAATGTAAAAAATGGACACTCCCAGGGTGTACTATGAATTCCTGCACAAAAAGGAAAAAGTAAAAAAATGGACACACCCAGGATATACAATGCATTCCCGCACAAAAAGGAAAATGTAAAAAAATGGACACACCCAGGGTATACTATGCATTCCCACACAAAAAGGAAAATGTAAAACAATGGACACACCCAGGGTATACTATGCATTCCCGCACAAAAAGGAAAATGTAAAACAATGGACACACCCAGGGTATACTATGCATTCCCACACAAAAAGGAAAATGTAAAAAAAGGACACACCCAGGTATACTATGCATTCCCGCACAAAAAAGAAAATGTAAAAAAAGGACACACCCAGGTATACTATGCATTCCCGCACAAAAAAGAAAATGTAAAAAATGGACACACCCAGGGTATACTATGCATTCCTGCACAAAAAGGAAAATGTAAAAAAATGGACACACCCAGGGTATACTATGCATTCCCGCACAAAAAGGAAAATGTAAAAAAAAATGGACACACCCAGGGTATACTATGCATTCCCGCACAAAAAAAGGACACACCCAGGGCATACTATGAATTCCCGCACAACTTACCATTTGATCTAATTGATAACTCCAAGTTTCTCATATCCCATGCTGTTTTCTATTGTCCAGAAAAAGCAGAGATAAGAAACTTTGACAGGAGTTCAGACATTCCGCACTTATTATTATTATTATTTTCAAAGATTCGTGCTGCTTAGCAACCGACGGCTCACAAATCATTTGAATCTACCTCCTGAGCACTGAAGATATCATTACCAAACAAACAAGATTCATTTGCTTGTCTCAGGGCCATAAGATCTTTCTTCAAGCTACCACCTTATGAATAGGAAACAATTTAGATAGAAACAAATAGTTGATAATTACCTCTTCAGAGTGCAGAAAGCCTGGATTAATCAAAACTCGCTAAGTAGACATCAGGACCGCGTACACCTTGTTTTCTTCTGTGTGGCAGCAGGCGACTTTTAAGGCACACTCCAATCCAAATCAACGACTGTGCATTTAAAGTCATATAGTAGACACAGAGAACCTAGCTGATTGGCTCAGATTATCACCACTGCTTGCAGTTTTCTACCCTGCTTACTTAAAGCAGTATTAAACCCAAAAGCAAACATTTATTATATTGCAGCTTACCATTTCCTAAATGTGATGGCTGCATTTGTTTGCTTTTTCAGGCTTTCTTTCTTCTATTTTCACCTGGTGATCCAGCGAGGAAGTCTGTTGTTTTTCAAAAGAACAAGCTCTCCAGTAGAATGAGTTACAGAGATAAGACGAACCATTTAACATTGATAGGGGTGCTTACAATAGTCAACTTGTATATATTCATTTAAAATCTTTATCCCGAAGAGGAAAAATAGTTTGCTGTAACGGCTTATAAAATATTAGTTGGAGTATGGCTTTGATTTGTTAGTGTATTTAAAAATGCTAGTCATTCTAACATTCCCCTCCCCCCAGACTGACAATGCTGCTGTGCAAAAGGTGCCCCTGTGAGCCTTCATCCAGAGTGGGGGAGCCCTAATATAGGAGGTGTGTTACTGGTCAGATCACCAGGTGAAAACACAGGGAAACAAAGCCTAAACAAAAACTAATGCAGTCACCACATCTAATGCTTGGTAAGCTGCAATATGTTCCTTTTTTGGCTTTGGGTTTAATACCACTTTAAATGGGGGGGGGGGGGGAGCCACCTACTGGGGAGCAGAAGATTAGGTACAGCAAGTAAACTGTTTCTCCTTTCCCCTACACAAAACATGCCATTTCCCTTGCAGTGTGAGCACATCCCCACTGGAAGGGATCATTTTTTACCTGCTGGAGTGATCCTTTCCATGTAGGTAAGTCTGGTTTTTAAGAGTTTAAATAAAGTAGTATTAAACCTACATTGATATACTGCTCTTTACATGAAAATCCACTCCAAAAGTAGATACTAAAATGTTATTTTCTTTCTTGTGACCCCTATTCTTACTTTTTAGCTGTCATGATTTTTCCCATTCCTGTGTCCCTCTACTCACTCAACATTTCCCATAACCTCCATTTGGGGAACAAGCCCTGGGATCATCAGAACTCCAAATCTTTGGGGTTACATGTCTTATGACCAGGGGCGGACTGACAACTCATGGGGCCCCTAAGCCCTAGCCCACACTCAAACCACACCCAAAAAAGCCTATGAAAGGTACCAGGGGCATTTCATGGGGCCCCCTACTGACCCCGGGCCCTTAGGCAATGCCTGGATTCCCAAATGGTCAGTTCGCCCCTGCTCATGACTCTTTACACACTTCCTGCTGAATGTGCAGTATGGGCTGTGAGTTTTCCAGTGCCGTGTTTAGTCAACGAATGTGCATGCTGCTGCCCATACTGTACTTTGGTGTTGTGTTCAACAGGCACATGAACAGTATGGACCACCAACTATGTAGTGCTACGTTTGGCCAATGCTTGCTCAGTATGGGCCACTGCCTGTGCTGCACTCTAGCACTGTGTTTGGTAGACGCATGCACAGTATGGACCACCAACTATGTAGTGCTATGTTTGGCCAATGCTTGCTCAGTATGGGCCACTGCCTGTACTGCACTCTAGCACTGTGTTTGGTAGATGCATGCACAGTATGGACAACTATCCATAGCTACATGGTAAGGTCTCACTTTTTGTTGGATAGAATTATTAAGACTCTTTTAAAAATTCTGTTTCTTGGTGTTGATGCAAAAGTACAAAACATAAACAGAATGAATAGACTAGCACACACAGGGGCACACTACTGACAAGTAACCAAAAGGTGTAGGGCAGACAATTGTCTCGGAAATTAAGACCATATAGGTGTGTCTTGTGCTATAAAAGGAGTAACTCCGAAATAGGAGGACATTGCCTAAATCAGATAGATAGCCCCAGGTAATTGAGGTTCCCTAGCTGGTTTAGCCTAATGAAGGGTCATCTCTAGACCTTAAACCTCATCTGATATGGAGGACATGAAAGTTTCTTCCAAGCACTTCAACCAAACTCTTTTGTATTTCAGGCATACTGTTTACAAGAGTAGCTACGTCTTACTACTTGACGTTTTCTTGCAAAAAGTTTCACAAAGACAAAAAGAGAATGTAGATAAAGATTATTAAACAAACAAGCATACATTTGTTGGGTTGCTTACGTTCTCAACACCCAACCCAACGCTTGCTAGAACCAACATTGGCTTAAAGTGAGCTTGTGCCTTGTCTATGTAGAGCATAGCAAAAGGTAAGCTAGACCCCATGTGAGTTGGACCAATTACCAAGAACCAGAGATGACACATGGACACAAACCTCCATATCCAGAAGTATTGGGTAGTTTCTGAACAAAGGAGTGGGGGAGTGAATAAAAGGTAAGCATGTGCTTCTGGGGAGGGAAGGGGGGCATTAAACCAAGTCTTTTACTTTGCCTTGCATGAGCAAAAATACGGGTAAGTCTCATTTTGTACACATGTGGGCCCATTCCGCTCAGCAAAATTGCTTTAGCTGTGTTAATTTGGATAGAATCCATTGGTAAACAGCAAATATCAAGTCTTGCCATAGATTAGATGATTGAGATTAATCCATGGTGCCTTCTGCATAATATCACATTTACCCTGATTAGCACAGAGGACAGAGACACTTAAAACTTAAAATAAAGTTAAAATTAAAAAATATTTGTACTTGAGAAAGGTAATATTTCCACAGTGTAATTTCCAACACAGTCCGATTTATTCTAATATTGCATTAAAATTAAGTTTTATCTATATTTACTTCAGAAAATGCATTGCTTTTACTTCCTAAATGGCAAAGAAAATGTCTATCTTACTATAATTATGTTTCCATTTAGCAGGCTCCATCTAATTTTATACAGCGTAGTAAATTTCCAATTTTTACATCACTTTTGTCCATTGGAAGCTGTTGTGGTAATTGATGTCTTATTCTAATGGGGAAAAGTTCAAATATAAGAATGAAATGGAGTCTGACTCAAGTGTGTTAACCCATTTGTAGCCTGAATGACATTAAGATTCTCTATTGGATTTGTATACATTGCTTATTTTATGAATGTACTTTCTAGAAAAAAAAATGCTGATGACAATTTTTAGTGTTAATAAAACTTTTTTTCTTTTGAAATGTTTTCTGTAATCGCTTCCCATCCACCCTATAGCAGAAATACTGCTACATGATTCCGCATTTCCGGGTAGGAGGCGCGTGCGTCAATCCCAGCCAGTAATTACTTTCTAGAACCCGGTTATTTCCGAAGATCTCCGACGGGAAGGAGGACTGTTTTGTTTACTAACAGTCCTCCTCCCTGTCAGCTCGGGCACACTGCTTTGGATGGCTGTGCACAGCACAGCCATCCAGAGCTGTGTGATTACAGGAAAGCACACTGACCCCTAGTAAACACACTCCCTGCACACAGTTAACCATTTGACCACCCCTCATGTTAACCCCTTCTTGCCCAGTGCCATTAGTACAGTGTCAGTGCTTTTTTTTTTTAGCACTGATCACTGTATTGGTGTCACTGGGGATGTCAGTGACACCATGTCAGTTCCCCCCCAGTGTCAGAATGTCCGCCGCAGTCCCGCTATAAGTCGCTGATCGCCGCCATTACTAGTAAAAAATTTTTAAAATATAGTATATATATACCGCCATTTGTAAATGCTATAAATTTCACGTAAACCAATTAATTTACATGTATTTGGATTTTTTTTAAGCAAACGCATGGAGCAGAATACATTTTGGCGTACATTTATGATGAAATTAGATTTTTTTTTTTACTGGACATGTTTAATAGCAAAAAGTAAAAAATATAGTTTTTTTTCTCAGAATTGTTGGTATTTTTTTACAGCGCAAAATATAAAAAACGCACAAGCGATCAAATACCACCGAAAGAAAGCTCAATTCATGCGAAAAAAGGACGGAAATTTCATTTGGGTGCAGAGTTGCATGACCGCAATTGTCAGTGAAAGTAATGCAACGCTGTAGCGCAAAAAATGGCCTGGTCAGGAAGGGTGGTATATCCTCAGGAGGGTAAGTGGTTAAAGAACCACTTTGATTTAATACATGGATTTTTATATTATACTTTTTAGACAAAATTGCTATTTAAGACTCAACTCAATCCATAGAAACAGATGGTTTGACTCACAGAAGAGAGTCTGGTCTATGGGGCCGATTGTAGAATATTCCTCCTCCATCATTTAGTGCATTGTGTCAGACTTTGGGGGTATAGAGACTGAGCTCTCTACCTCTGGTAATCAAAACTTTAAAGCAGGAGAAGAATTCTCATATGCACCCACCACAAGCCTTTTGCTGTCTCTCACATATAGAAAGCCTCATGTGAAAAAAAATGTTACTACTTAGATCAGGGGCGGACTGACAACTCATGGGGCCCCCGGGCAAAAGGGGATCATGGGGCCCCTGTGCCCTTGCCCAAACTCAAAAAAGCCTATGAAAAAGGTACCAGGGGCATCTCATGGGGCCCCCTACTGACCCCGGGTCCTCGGGCAGTGCCCAAGTCTCCAAATGGTCAGTCCGCCCCTGACTTAGATCCTTCATAATATTTACTAATCTGGGTTCTTGTTTGTGGATGGGGACTAAGGGGATTCCTGATGTATGTCTAAAAAATATACTGGTCCATTGTTCCCTTTCTGTATTTCTTTTTGTCAATTTTTATGACCTGATCTGATGTAGATCTGTTTGTAATCTCTCATAACTGATGGAAATTTGAATAAAAAACCTTGCAAGTAAAAAAAATGTCAGTATTAATGGATCCAAATCTTCCTTGGAAGTTTGACTGTAAATTGATGGCACACCTTAGAAGTACAATTCTAGCAATCATCCTTGAGCCCTCAGCATTTCCTTGTCATTACTACAGCTTAGATCTCTGCAGCTCGCACCTGTACCCTAATCAAGAATAGTTAAATTAAATGCTGTGAATTCCGCCTGGCCCTGATCAAACTATTGCAGAGTTCAGTAGACCTTCTTTGTTGCCGGATGCAACAGGCAACACACAGGAGAGATGGGAGAGTACTTTACGTCTTGACTTCTGGACTACACTTACAATAGCAGAGATAACAGCCTAACAGTCCAATGTTCAGAGCAAGCAAAGATACTGAGTACAACAGAACGGTTAGACTTATGCTAGAGAAAGACAGATTTCTATCCACAGGCCAAGGCTAAACTTCTACTACTGATTAGGACAGGCATGCATTGCAGAGACCCAAGCTGCAGTGCTGAGTGATAACCAGCAGATTGTGAATGCCCAAGGCAGTTCTTTAAGATTGGAAATTCTCAAGGCAAATCCTTACAGTACCCCCCTTTATGCCCCACCCCCCATTCTTAGTCTCTGAACCAACAAGAAGTTCTGAGCCAGGAAAGACTACACTAATAGGGTTCTCAAACTTGGCTATTACAATAAAGAGTACCCCATCATTGTTTCATGTCATTTACAATGCTTTTATCAGGCTACACTTTTTTTTATTATTTTTTTTTTATTTACGGCCAAAGCCCATTTTTTTCAGAACAAAGTTACAACAACACTTTAGGTGTGAACGTTGCAATGAAAGAAATCCACAATCAATATAAATTAGAACAGAAACAAAATAAATCTGAACATAATTAGACAGCATGGTAAACTATATAATACAAAAACCCAAATGACAGAAACTCTGCACATTGTTGGGTTACAGTAGTTGTCAGAGGCTTAGTAAGTAAAGAGGTATCTGAGCTATATAAGGGGAGGGGAGGGGGGGTAGTGGAAGAACTTCTACCAAAGGGGGAATGATCTCATGGTTCCAAAATAGATCGAAAATTACCTGAGTAGTCACCCACTAGAGTTGTAAGATATTCCATTTCTCTGATTTCAGAGATCGCTCTTAAAAGATGATTTAATGTGGGGACATCAACTGATTTCCAGAGTCGTGGTATTACCCATCTAGCAGCCATCAGAATATGTATTCCCAACCTCTTAGATTGCTTAGAAATACCCCTAAAGGGTAGCCCCAAAAGATAGTGTAGCGGGTCAAGGGGAAGGGTAACATTGAGTATCTGCTCCAAGACCATTTTAACCATAGCCCAATAACCCGCAATCTGTGAACAGAACCAAAAATGTGTGCCAAGGTGCCTACTCCTCCCATGCACCTCCAACTCCTGTCAGAGAGACTGGGGTTAAACGCATGAAGCACTACAGGGGTTTTGTACCAATGCATCAATATTTTATATAAATTTTCTTTATACACAACACAACGAGAAGTTTTAGTAACAGAGTCCCAAATCATCTGCAAACATTTCAAAGAGATTGGGCATTGAAATTCGTCTTCCCATCTCTTCATATAACGGTGGGGGTTATCAACAAGAGAATCGTTATTGAGGAGTAGTTTATATAAAGAGGTAATAAGATGTTGTTGGGAGGGACCTTTAGCCGCTAGCTACACTTCTTTATATTTTTCACTCCCACAACCCTGTATCTACAATACCGTTGCCTATGAAAATGACCCCTCTGCTAGTACCCAAAGCCTCAAGGAACCCAAGGAAAATCAGCTTCCTAGTCTACCCACTTCCACACCTTGGAGGCTCTCATCAAAACCTCAGTAAAATAATTTCTTCTCACATATGTTAAGAAAACCCCATCACCATAGGCATATACCACTATTGCAATGTTTATAACAATTTCATTAAGGTTCCTAAATTTGTAACAAAGCAAAACAGATATCCATGCACCTCTAGCTTTTTCACCAAGTACAACCCAAGGACATGACTTGTATCAACAGGTGAATGCAATTTGCCAGCCAATTCCAAATCCTCCACAGCACCATCAATGCCACAAATTAATTTTCAATGTAAAATTAAACTTTCCATGTGCACATAGTAGTATCTTTACAATCCACTCTTGGGGCTGTTTTGAACACACTTTGTTTAGGCATTACCATTATTTGTGCATATTTAGTACTGCGATGTGCCCTTAAATCTCTATTTAGTGTACTTATTCGATGACTGCACTAAGGTCCCAGAGAGTTTGGGAATCTATTCATGAACACCCTCTGGTATAACTCTGGCTAGAACTTAGATACTTAATGATACCTGTTTCTGATCCTCATCTTCTGACTGGAGCTGGGCTTTCCTAGCAACGTTCTTCTGATAACAGTCACCTGCTTTGGATTTAGTTTTTGATCATCAGCCCTGATCCTTTCACAGATTTAATCTAAATTTGTCTGTAGTCTAACCTCTGGCATGTACTACTGTTTTTTCTGCAGCCAATCCCATCTCAACCATAAGGGGCTGTTGTGAACATCAGATACTTCTAGAACCTGCACTTCGATGAGAGTCTTTATTGAGCTACTGTTGGCACAAAGAGTCCCCTTGAAATGTGATTCTTGGAATCGTAGCCTCCCTGTTTATAGTAAGCTGGCAGAGCATTGCTTGTGCAAATAGTCCCCAGTAGCCCAATTCCTGTGCCATATTTTTATATGGATTTTTTTCCTGAATGTTTCAAATAGATTGTAAAATATTAGCTCCTGGATTGTATCTGACCTTGGCTTATTTGGTGTCCTGACCTTACCTTATATGACCATAGAATTCTCTGGCATCTTTTAACCTCAGATTATCTGTGGTTACATTTCTGCACTGTCTGCCCTGACCTTCATCTGACTATAAGCTGCAAACTCTTTGTCACAGTGTAGCCTTCAGTTTCCTGCCTCTGAAATTCTTACCTTCTTGTTGCAGTGGTTCTGCTAGACCTGAGATTCCAGTCACATGTGCTGTTGGCTTCTCTGTTCACCTATGGGCGTCACCTGCTCTACTGTGGATTTAAATCCATTTTTCTATCACTTTCTGGCCTGCCTCCCAGTCTGTTTCCCTATAAAAGACATTCTACGTTGCAGCATTGCCTGAGCAGCTTCCCTGTTTCTCTGAGCTCCTGGGTTGCCTAGTATTACTGTATTCTGTGTTTGACTTCCCATGTACCGACCCCAGCTTTATATACCGGTTTTGCTTGCCTGCCCTTCGCCCTGACCGCAGCTCATTTCCCAGATCCATTTCTGTCTTCTGCCATCTGTACAAAGCATACTGTACATGATTAGTCTCCATTTGGACAGCTGGGCATACCTGGAGGCCATGACCTGGTTCCAGCTTGCTGCATGACCATCCCTACTATTAAGGAACCTGGTAAAGAAGCAGGCAGGGATTAGACACCTCTCCCAGGGTAGCCCCAAGTTGGCTTTCTACAAGGGCTCACTACCACATAAACCTGATGCCCTTAGCAGCTTTATCTAACTTCAAACCATTCATGATATTGCAAAAGTTGAAAAAGCTGAATAACTACCTTGTTTTCCTTTCCGGGCACATTCCACCTATGCTCAAAAAATGTAATTCCTAATATCAGGTAAATGGTGAACCTATAACCTGTGACCATGGTAGACACTTCTATAATCAGAGCAACTTCAACACATTTATTGGGGAAACCATATTGTTTATGCCTTAGGAGAAACTGCTTAATGCAGCGGTCATCCCAAACCCTGAAACGTTGGGTTTGTGGGGTCTCTTTTATTCAGCCTGGTCTGTATACATTTATGCACATGTGCCATTTTAAGCTTTGATTCTATTCTTCTTTGCTCTCCTAAACTCAATGACTGTTGTACTATACATATAGATTGTGGTAATTTTTTCTGTCAAAGTTTTTATTCACTTATACATTCATTTAGAGTTCATTGCTTACTGATGTATATATGTGCATCATAATCAAACATTATTGCCAGTTATGACTTAAGATAGTAAAGCATCAAGCACACACGTACAAGTATACCTTATTAAGTACATATCCTTCTACCAAATACCACCACATTACATACCAGAACATCCAGGTTTCACTGTATGATTTTCAACAACAATAAAAGAAAATCTTTGGGGGTTTGGGGAAAAATATACCTTGAAAGCCAGCTCTGCACAGCTCATTATCTCATAAAGGTAATATAACATCCATCCTCACTGCTTTAATTCCTCACAAGGAACATGAAAGAACATCTTTTGATGTGAAACAAAGGCTTACCTCCACCAATTTGTTGGCATGTTCACGGAACACTTGGGCATATTCCTTTACCTCCTTCTCATTACCGCTCTTCGCTGCCTCGATGAGAACCAGCAGGGGAACGTTAGTCTCCAGAAAAGAGTCTGAGATATGGTCCATTACAGCTTTCCGGAGCTAGCAAACAAGAAGTAAAAAAAAAAAGAAAAATGTTCTATTAGTGGGAAAACAATTTAACATGTAAATCAGAAAAATTTACAAGCATTATTCACGAAGATCAGACTATTGAATTTTAAATTTTTAGGAACACTCCAGCCAGACATGATAATTTTAAAACCCAAAAAGTGACCACAGTCTATGTGGTAGGTGGCATCTCCAATTTTCACCCAGCACTCATGTAGATTAGCTGGCCATACCATGTGCTAAATTTGTCAGTCTCTTGCCTATATCTGAACATACAAATACTAAGGATGATAATTTATTCTGGTTCCAGACACCTACCTTTGTGGTTTAGAGCATAGTTTCACAGCACAGAATCCCAAGAGGTTATAGTTCTTTACAGAAGACTTGCTGAAGATTGCAGCAGCTGGCTGCACCAGTAAATCACAGATTAAAGGCAAATTAAGTTGCAACACTTTCCTATTTTTCTCTTCTCCACTATTTTCTGTGTTCAGGCAAGTATACATTAATATTAAAAAAATTTATATTTCAGACAAATGGTCTATATATGTAACCACCTTTGCAGAAGTTTTTTTTGTAGTTTCTTGCTGATGTCTCGATTAATTATCTGTTGTATGATCATATAACCACTAGTGCTGCAAGTAGCTTATTACCAATATGTTAAAGCATACATATAGTCAAAACATTTTTTTTTTTGATAGAGCAGATGATATCTATGCCCAGATGCACTGGGTAGATATAATCTCTTATTTGTCCTGGTAACAAGTTTCCATGGGTGGGACAAAAAAACCTGGGAAATCCAAAAGAGTACAGTTGTCACCAGGGGCGGACTAACAACTCATGGGGCCCCCGGGCAATATGGGATCATTGGGCCCCTGTGTCCTTGCCCAAACTCAAAAAAGCCTATGAAAAAGGTACCAGGGGCATCTCATGAGGCCCCCTACTGACCCTGCGCCCTCGGGCAGTGCCCGAGTTTCCAAATGGTCAGTCCGCCCCTGGTTGTCACCAAAACATGAGTTGAGGGTACATTTTCTGACATAGACATCCGTTTAGGTGACAGCTATCAAAGAAGGGGACATCCCTCGCTTTGTTGAAATAACTTCCTGTTATGTCTCTGGGACAGAGAGGAAAAGGATATCTACCCAACTGGGCACAGACAGAAAAAAATCCAAAACTAAATGAAAACTTTGGGATTTACATACACTTTTATCCAAAGTAATGCTCTTTGGAATCTACGTTTTCATATTTTTTGCTTTGTGCAAACGTATCTCCAGATTCCAATCATGCACTACCTTACAGGTTATAGTACTGCATATACCTTAAAATAACATCAAAGACATTTCTGAAGTTAATATAGGCGATTAGGCTTGTCATGGTCAAGGTCACATAATCAAAAAATCAGATTACATTTTTAGACGATGACCTTTCTGATCTTCTTTCAAAATCCAAGGCACCATCTTTGTGGAAATCATTCTCATTCCCAAGTCCTCCCTTAGAATCTGCCGCACTGTTTCCCTGTTCATGTTCAATTCTTCTGCCATCATTCTTTGATCTGAGCGTAAGAGGGTTCGCACTCTGTCCACATTTGCATCCATCCTTTGCGTTTTTGGCTGCCCACTTCTTCTGTCATTGTGGACATTTTCCCTCCCCTCCTTAAACAGCCTATGCCTTTGAAAAACACTTGATTTCTTTATGGAAAGTTCTTCATGAGCCTGATGTAACAGAGCTAAAGTTTCACTTGCACTTTTGCCAATTTTCACAAAAAAATGTGATGCTCCAGATTCCTGTCACTCATTTTCTGCCAACAGCGCAATGCACGCACATTTTATTGCTTCAACTACCCATAAAGACTGAGTCAACTGGTCTGCGACCCAGGCAGGTGGAAGTTAGAACGTGCCGAGTGCGAATGGCTTTGTGACTCACCACCATATGCCGTGGGCATTTCAGGAATGAAATTGTCACACTTACCAGCCTCTTTATTAGGTACACCTGTTCAATTGCTTGGTAACACAATTGCTTATCAGCCAATCACATGGCAGCAACTTAATGCATTTAGCCATCTAGATCTGGTGAAGACGACTTGCTGAAGTTTAAACCGAGCATCAGAATGGGGAAGAAAGGGGATTTAGGTGCCTTTTCTTACTCCTTTTGATGCATTCTCTTAAGTTAAAATGTTCTTGCTGAATGGAGATCTAGGAATCCAAGGTCACAAATATTACCACCAGGGCTTTCAAAACGTTGCCACTTAAGCCCAGCCACCAACACCATCAGCATCCCAGTGTGGAAAAAAAAGCAGCTCAGACCTCAATATGAACTGTTTAATGCATGCTGCAATAAGCACCTTCAGCATCAGCATTTCCATTTGCATCACTAAGGACTGTCCAGTCTGAGGCAAAGAGAAAGGGTGTCATGCAGCATTACATGACCAACACAAGGACTTTGATAACGGTGAGTATAAAAAACTAGTAAATCATACATCTCATGGGAGTTTCCAAGAGAAGCAGAGGGCACTATGAGTAGGGATAAAAAAAAGCTTCCAGTTCTACTTGAAGTACCTCAGGAGCTCATTTTCCACATTTTCTAGCTAGACAAAGCATTCTTTGGACAATCTACAATGTTTCTAATAACTTGGAATATTTTGTTTATTATTATTATACAGTATCTATATAGTGCCAATGGTTTGCTCAGTGCTGTACATTATAATGGGAGACAGTACACGAGCAGGGGCGGACTGACAACTCATGGGGCCCCCGGGAATAGGGGATCATGGGGCCCCTGTGTCCTTGCCCAAACTCAAAAAAGCCTTTGAAAAAGGTACCAGGGGCATCTCATGGGGCCCCCTACTGACCCTGGGCCCTTGGGCAGTGCCCGAGTTTTCAAATGGTCAGGCCGCCCCTGTACACGAGACAGTACAGTAACAATGCAATACAATACACGAGGGGTTCGAGGGCTCTGCTCCTTGGAGCTTACAATCTAGGAGGGAGGGGAGAGTGGTACAGGAGAAAATAGCTGTGAGGGATGGAGTGGTGGGAAGAGCGGAGGAGATCAGCAAATTAGATGAGGCTTCTCTGAAGAGATGGGATTTCAGGGTGCACCTGAAGGTGAGGAGGGAAGGTGACAGTCTGATGGATTGGGGTAGTGAGTTCCAGAGGATGGTGGAAGCCCTGGAGAAGTCCTGGAGATGGGCATGGGAGGAGGAGACCAGGTTTATGTGTATTAGCTGCTGAAATTCATAATCGTTATGATGACGAATTCACTTTGACAAGCAGAAGTACTCCCGGAACTCATCAGACATACCCCCTGGGGTTGAAAGCCTGTGCTGTATAGGACTATATGGGGAATGCACTTCGGAGCAGACAGCCAGGACCGGCAGGTCACAGAAGATGTGCAGTTATCATGGCAGATGAGGAAAATGTCCTGATAGGCCCCAGGCAGCTTTAAGGAGCCAACAGGGGAACAGGGGGTTTCAATTCTATGAAATGTACAAATAAAACAATGAACAGAGAGTTATGCTTTAATATCTGTCACCGGTATGAGTGAGGCCTCTTTTAGGAGATGTATTCTTCATTTTTAAACTGATATTGTGACTCTTGACAGCTTTCCAAGACTGATAATGCAGCCACATGATCCAATCTATCATTAGGCAGCCTGGCACACAGCCCGGTGTGTTACTGTAGCAACTGCAGCCATTTACTGAGTTACTTTAAGAAGTCAGCAACTGGCTAGGCAATCGACATGGTTGTCACTGGGTAACTGAATGGATTAGCGACATTGAAATCTAACCGGGTGTTATACCCCCGGACATGCTTTGAGCTGTATTATTTCATCAAAAGATACAGGTCTTCCGACAAGTTAAAATTGATCTGTGAATTAATGACCTGCTAGGCTTAAAAAGTAGGCTCCAAAAGAGGTTATGTATCAGGAAATATATAGGTTATTATGGGTTTTTAAGTAGAACCAAACGGAGATAAAATGCCCTTTAATTGGTAAAAATCAGAGGTCAGTGAAGGGACAAGTGGCCTGAAACATGCAAGTGGAGGTCTAATGTCCAGGTTAATAACTGGGTCTCTTTGCAGTTTTTAATAGTTTTAACCCCTGGTGTGCTTCAGAGTCATTAGCACTGTTTCCTCCATTGCTGCATGCTATATGTCCTATATATATATATATATACACACACTTTAATAATAATAATAGTGCAGTGCTAATGCATAATAAATGAAAAACATATATATACCTTAATATATGGTGATAATATAAAAAATTATATATAACCATGCAAATGAAGAAATCTATAGTGGTATGATCCAACAAGGATCTAATTAGTGCCACACACAACGAAGTGCAAAACAATGTGAAATGACAAACTGGTCATCAATCATGACCTCATATAGTGAAAAAACAATATTAACTTCAATATCACCCTCCACACTCAAAGTACACCCAACAAAGCCTATAAAAAGGTACCAGGGGCATTTCATGGGGCCCCCCGACTGACCCGGGCCCTCGGGCAGTGCCTGAGTGTTCGAATGGTTAGTCCGCCCCTGCTTGAAACGTGGCATGGTTGTTGGTGCCACAGAGCCTATATATAGACTCTGAGGCTATGAGTGGAGTTACTCTTTAATGTCATTTACTATATTTATTTTATATTTATTATGTTTATATTATATTTATTGTATTTATTTATTTTTTATTTATATACAGTATGTTTAGAATCTATATTTAGAATATTAAGTGTGTATATATTAAATATAAAGTCCCTCCTGCGCTGCTATATGATAACAATATAAAGATAAGCAGCCAACACTCTACCTTAAACCTTGTAAGTAAATGATCAAACAATAATAATAATAATAATAATAATAGTGCAGCACTAATGCTTAATAAATGAAAAAACATATATATACCTTAATATATGGTGATAATATAAAAAATTATATATAACCATGCAAATGAACAAATCTATAGTGGTATGATCCAACAAGGATCTAATTAGTGCCACACACAACGAAGTGCAAAACAATGTGAAATGTCAAACTGGTCATCAATCATGACCTCATATAGTGAAAAAACAATATTAACTTCAATGTCACCCTCCAAAATGATCCCTGTCAGGGATTTACCACATAAACACACAAATTAGTGCAAAATGGCCCCCAAATTTCCCTGAGGAAGTCACGTGATGATAGTGACGCAACGCGTAGGTACGCGGTGTTGTACGTTCCGGGACGTGGTGACGTACTTCCGTCATCTTGGCACACCTAAAACCCATGCAGAGGTACACCATAGCATGAGTTTTAAATGCCTGTAGAATACTATTAACAAGTGAGTGAGCAATTGGCATTGTTTCTATATATTAAAATAAAAACGTATTACGCTATGGAGGATTTTTTCTCTGCTATTATAATCCGAATGGGAGATTGTGCTGAGTAGCATATACCTTTATCTGGAGTGGACCTGAGAAGCGTAAGTGCCGCCAGTGAGGGGGATTTCTTATGGATACCATCCGGTAAACAGATATTGCCTGTAAAGGATCCTGGGGTGATCCTGAAAGCGCGCTGGCCCAGTGGGTCACTGTAAGGAGGTGAGGGGCATTTTGGCCATTGAGGATTTCACTGTTGGTGTGAATGCACATTCACCGCATCACCTGCATGGAATATTTTTTCATTGGATCACAGCTCATATTTATAGTTATTGTGGATGTTTATGAATTTTTGATAAAGTTTTTTTGGGATATTCTGGCACTGAAGTTTGTGCTGATTACAACTTATGTTTAATCACCTTGTTTAGGTTTTCCCCTAATTTGGGGGATTCATGGCCATTTTGCACTAATTTGTGTGTTTATATGTTAAATCCCTGACAGGGATAATTTTGGAGGGTGATATTGAAGTTAATATTGTTTTTTTCACTATATGAGGTCATGATTGATGACCAGTTTGTCGTTTCACATTGTTTTGCACTTCGTTGTGTGTGGCACTAATTAGATCCTTGTTGGATCATACCACTATAGATTTCTTCATTTGCATGGTTATATATAATTGTTGATATTATCACCATATATTAAGGTATATATATGTTTTTCATTTATTATGCATTAGCGCTGCACTATTATTATTATTATTATTATTATTATTGTTTGATCATTTACTTACAAGGTTTAAGGTAGAGTGTTGGCTGCTTATCTTTATATTGTTATCATATAGAAGTGCAGGAGGGACTATATATTTAATATATACACACTTAATATTTTAAATATAGATTCTAAACATACTGTATACTGTACTAAATGAAAAATAAATAAATATAATATAAACATAATAAATATAAAATAAATATAGTAAATGACATTAAAGAGTAACTCCACTCATAGCCTCAGAGTCTATATATAGGCTCTGTGGCACCAACAACCATGCCACGTTCCAAGAAGGGGTGGACTAACCATTCAAACACACGGGCACTGCCCGAGGGCCCGGGGTCAGTCGGGGGCCCCATGAAATGCCCCTGGTACCTTTTTATAGGCTTTGTTGGGTGTACTTTGAGTGTGGGCAAGGACACAGTGGCCCCATGATCCCATATTGCCCGGGGGCCCCATGAGTTGTCAGTCCGCCCCTGGTTTCAAGTTACTTGAAATCCCCTTTCTTCCCCATTCTGATGCTCAGGTTGAACTTCAGCAAGTTGTCTTCACCACCTCTAGATGCCTAAATGCATTGAGTTGCTGCCATGTGATTGGCTGATTAGCAGTTTGTGTCACCAAGAAATTGAATAGGTGTACCTAATAAAGTGACTGGTGAGTATATATATATATATATATATATATATATATATATACACACACACACACACACTAATGGGCCACTTTATTAGGTACACCTGTTCAATTGCTTAGTAACAAAAATTGCAGTTAGATGTGGTGAAGACAACTTGCTGAAGTTCAAACTGAGCATCAGAATAGGAAAGAAAGGGGATTTAAGTGACTTTGAACATGGCATGGTTGTTGGTGCCAGAAGGGCTGGTCTGAGTGTTTCAAAAACTGCTGATTTTCTGGGATTCTGGGATTTTCACGCACAACCATCTCTAGGGTTTACAGAGAATGGTCCGAAAAAGAGAAAATATCCAGTGAGCTGCAGTTGCGTGGATGAAAATGCCTTGTGGAGTTCAGAGGTCAGAGGAGAATGGGAACACTGGTTGTTGTGAACTTTAGATGGTAGGGTCAGAATTTGGCATAAACAACATGAAAGCATGGATCCATCCTGCCTTGCATCAATGGTTCAGGCTGGTGGTGTTGTAATGGTTTGGGGGAGATTTTCTTGGCACTAGCAAGATGTACCCAATAAAGTGGCCGGTGAGTATTTATATATATATATATATATATATATATATACAGGGGTGGACTGACAACTCATGGGGCCCCCGAGCAATAGGGGATCATGGGGCCCCTGTGTCCTTGCCCAAACTCAAGAAAGCCTATGAAAAAGGTACCAGGGGCATCTCATGGGGCCCCCTACTGACCCCGGGCCCTCGAGCAGTGCCTGAGTTTCCAAATGGTCAGTCCGCCCCTATATATACTGTATATATATATATATATGTATATATATAAAATGAAAAAAGTGAGCGCTGATCCTAGAAAGCAGCTAAGCACTCTAAGTAACCAATAAATACTTATACAAAATAATATAAATGAAAGTGCAGCGCTAAGCAATAAATCTGAAAATTGTTAACTTGAATGACCTGAGGCGGAAAAATGAGCGCAGAGCTAACATGAGTACCTCTTTGCAGAGTCCTTATTAGGAATTCAAGCATCCAACTAAGAGGAGGAAGAATTTTGCTCTGCACCCTTGTGGAAAGGAAAGGCCAATCCACAGTGACCAGTTTCTTCTTGACCAAGGATCCATGAGCTTTTGATATATACTGCTTATACTGTATATATCCGCCTTCTGGTGAGTGTGCATTTCGGCTACTTCCTCACCGATCACCATTGTGGATTTGTCACTTGGCACGTTTATATGGACTGGACTTACAGTGGACAATTTTCAGATTTATTGCTTAGCGCTGCACTTTCATTTATATATATATATATATATATATATATATATATATATAAATATAGTGGAGTTAACCTTTAAGTGGGGATTGGACATACTATATTTGCAAGGACATTAGAAAGACGTGAACAAATTGCAGGGCATGTATGAACTTAGCACTACAAGAAGAATGACATAAGTGTGTATGAATACATCTTAACCAGCGGCCGACCCTCAAATCTTCCGGGAGTAGTGATCTTATAGAAACGCAGCCAACAAAGCCGATCCAAGCAGCCCATACTGAACTACAATCAGCATCTTGCTGGCATTTGTAGCATGCAGACAGCTGGGAGACTCAGCTCGCTTCCCGCTGATTTAGATTCGAAGACGAGCTCTGTGTACGCCATTGATAAGTGGTTGCCGTGGCAACACCTCCCCAAATTCTCTGGAAGACGGTCCTGCCTCGAACGCAGGTAAGTAATTTCGAAGCTCATGATCAAGTAGGAATATTCCGATTTGCCTCCTTCATGGGGGATTAGGCCAAGAAGGGGCCAGATTAGATGTACACGACCATCAAACGTGCGGCAGACTGCGAGGACGCCTGTCGTATTACTGAACAAACTAATGTGAGATTTCTACGAGGGATCTCAGGTCACTTACATAAAAACGGCCAATTTCTCCATGCGGAGGCTCGGCAGTTTGGGGAGGTAATTGCAGAAATGAAAATTACAACGTACTGTAGATTTTTTTTTTTTTTTTTTTTTGCTGCAGAAGCTAAAATAGAGCGCTGAATGGTCTTTTGTTCTGTAATGCCTGTGTCCTCTTGCCAAACTGGAAAGCTTAATGGATTTTTTTTTTAAGCTCTATCCACAAAAACTTTCACTTAAATATATTTCTCAATAGACACAAATTATATAAATCCATGTTGTGCGCACCAAATGCATTTGCAGATCCAGATATTACCTTGTAAAAGTAGTGGTGACATCATCACTGTGCTATACATAGCCTGTGTAGAGAGCAGAGCTTTGGGAGGGATCAAAAAGGTCCCACCCACTATAGACTGCCCCTGAGGGGGAGGAGACAAGACCAGTCACCTTGCACGAGGAGAGAGAGCAGCAGTGACTGGTCTTTATCACAGGAAGCTCCTACACAGAGGGAAGGTCTCACACTGGGACCATTTACCAGGCAGTGGAGGAGGTTTTCTGCCGTTTTCCCACTGCCCGTTTTAACCCCTAAAATCCTCTCCACTGTGACCTGTCACTATTAAAAACAGGCAGGGAGCTTGCAGTGCAAACCCATTTATTTATATTGGTCATTTTGGTGGATGGCATCGTCCTATGAACACAAGGGGTAAACTGCTTGCGTCTCAGAGCAAAGCAGTGGTGGGGGGGGGGTAAAACACAGCTCATCTGCCTGTCTGTAGCCCCCTGAGCACAAGTGTAAATTTAGCCTTAGTGAGGAAGATTTACCATTTTGTCATCTTTTTATTGCTACCTGTGTCCCCATTTGCAGGGGTGTATTTACCACAAGGCAAACAAGGCATTTGCCTAGGGCGGCATTTTTCAGGGGGGCAGCAGCATTTTTCAGGGGGGCAGTGCCATCCCCTGAAAGAAGGAATGTAAGAAGGGACACACGCAGCATGGGGACCAGGTGGTATCTGAGAGAGGCTGCAGGCTGCTTGATGGTGCCTGACTCTTGTTCCTGGGGATGTCCGGAACTTTGAAGGTGAGTGTCTTATCTTTTGCTGGGGTGGGGGTTGCCAGTGTTTGGGGGGGCGGTGGTAGTGGAAGGCTCTCTTGGGTGGGAGGTTGGGTGTTGTTGGTCAATGTCAGGCTCTCTTCATGCGGGAGAGAGGTGTTGGTCGGTGTCAGAGTCTCTCCAATTTTCATGTTTCCTATGGCAGCACGAAACCTAAATACATCACTGCCCATTTGGAGATGTAGGAATCTGGTGCCCTCCTATATTTTGTGATGGTTGTAACAGAACAGGAAGTGAGAAAAAAAAATCCTTATTTCCTGTCTATGGGGACACAAACTGAGGTTTTTTTCCAACAGAATAGATGGTTTAAAAGCTCTGCCAGGATTTTATTGCCTTTGTTACCATAAGGAAGACACCCCCTTTCCTGCCCAGGTGATGAGTGCCAGGCAGAACAGGAAGAGAAGACAATTCTTTTCTATGAGGACACAGGAAGAATACAAAATCTAACACCGTTTTTAACCCTTTCCTACTCTATCAAAAGATAAAAAAAAATAACATGCATTTCATACAGGGTGCGCTCATGAGACTAAAAGTGGATGTAAAAGTCAGACATGAACTATGAACAAAGCACATCCCCCTCCATAGTGTGTACTTGTTTCAATCCTGCTGATTAATTCCTCTGCTATCAGCATGAGTCACTTCTGACATGTTTTCCTGACACCAAGAAAACAATGGTGACGAGGGAGGGACCTTCATCAGACTGACAGCCACTGCTCTGTTCCTGTGCGTTGTGTAGAGGGGGGGGGGGTGTCTCTTCCCTCCAATCAGTTCTCAGAGCTCTCCTCACTAAGCCCTGCAGTGTGTAATTTTAGCTCTCCGCCCCCTTTTTTCTGACAGTTCAGACAAACTTTATAAATTCTGCACTTTGAGAAAAAAAAAAAAAATAAGATTGCAGATAGACAGGTACAACATATGTAGGAGGATTTGTTTTATCTCTGTGTCTCACCCCAGGCCAGTCACTTCACTGGACTTACATACAGTAAGGGTTTACAAACACATTAAGCTGGTCATTCAGGGATCAAGATTGGACCGGCCAGTTTTTGATCCATATGTGGCCAGCGTTGCTGAACAGATCGACTTCCGTTCAACCGCCCTGTCTCCCAGAATACAGTGACACAGCGGGGTGGATTCCTGCATCCACCTCCAATGTGTGGATGGGGGAATTTGGTTACTTATTTTCCTTTGACTTTTGGATGAACGAAAAAAAAAAACTGCCCCATGCATGGCCAGCCTTATATTCACTATACACATTAATATCTGACCACGCAATTTTTGCACAACCAACCACAGATTTACCAAAACTACGCAATATGAGGACCTGCCTAGCCTATCCAATCATTCTACATCCAATCAGGTAGGTCCTTGCACAACATAGTTGTTGGCAGCTCTAAAGAAGATTGTACAATCAGATTGTAATGTATGGTGAGCTTTTTAGGAAAGCCTGCTTGTTGGCAGCCTCTGTATAATTGACTGGATTTGTCTGGATTTGTCCCTTTTCCCCTTCTTTTTTATCTATTGTTGCATCTCAGTGCTGCGGATTTCCTGCAGCCTTCTGTAGACACTTCCTGTTTATATATACTCTAGCGATGGGTGCATGTCATTTTTGTTAACTACTTCTTGGCCGTGCTATAGCCGAGAGATGGCTATAATGTGGCTCTACAGTTCTGGGAGGACGTTCACGGACATCCTCCCACGTGTGTGCCCCCCACTCACGTTCTGTGACTGCTGTGTCCTTTGAACACAGCCAATCACAGATCGTGGTAAAGGACCAATCACAGCGGCACAGCATGTGGGGAAAGGAGAGCATATAACTGGCCAGTCTGACAGAGCACAGTGAGTACATTGTTTACACTCATAATCAGGGCATTGATCATCAGTGTCCTGATTAGCACTGCAGCAGTCCCATCAATTTAGATTATCCATCAGTGCTGCATCACTGACGCTTCATCACTGTAGTTTATCAGTGCCCATCAGCTCCCCTCATCAGTGCCCATCAGTGTAGATTATTAGTGCCCATCAATTCAGATTATCAGTGCCCATCAACTCCCCCTCATCAGTGCCCATCAGTGTAGATGATTAGTGCCAATCAATTCAGATTATCAGTGCCCATCAGCTCCTCCTCATCAGTGCCCATCAGTGTAGATTATTAGTGCCCATCAATTCAGATTAGCAGTGCCCATCAGCTCCCCCTCATCAGTGTAGATTTTTAGTGCCAATCAGTTCAGATTATCAGTGCCCATCAGCTCCTCCTCATCAGTGCCCTTCAGTGTACATTATTAGTGCCCATCAGTTCAGATTAGCAGTGCCCATCATCTCCCCCTCATCAGTGCCCATCAGTGCAGATTATTAGTGCCCATCAATTCAGATTAGCAGTGTCCATCAGCTCCCTCTCATCAGTGCCCATCAGTGCAGATTATTAGTGCCCATCAATTCAGATTAGCAGTGCCCATCAGCTCCCCCTCATCAGTGCCCATCAGTGCAGATTATCAGTGACCATCAGTTCAGATTATCAGTGACCATCAGTGCAGATTTCTGGTACCCATCAGTGCCGCCTCATCAGTACACATTAGTGCAGTTTAATCAGTGCTGTCTCATCAGTACAGCCTCATCAGTGCCCATCAGTGCAGCCTCATCGTTGCACATCAGTGCAGCTTCATTTCTGACCATCAGTGCCGCCTCATCAGTGCCCACGAGTGCAGCATCATCAGTGCAGCCTCATCAGTGCCCATCAGTGCAGCCTCATCATTGCTCATCAGTGCAGCCTCATCATTGCACGTCAGTGCAGCTTCATCAATGGCCATCAGTACCGCCTCATCAGTGCCCATCAGTGCAGCATCATCAGTGCAGCCTGATCAGTGCCCATCAGTGCAGCCTCCTCATTGCCCATCAGCGCAGCCCCATCAGTTCCCATAAGTGCAGCCCCATCAGTGCCCATCAATGCAGCCTCATTCACACACATCAGTGAAGAAGAAAAATTACTTATTTGCTAAATTTTATAACAAAAACTAAGAAAAACTTTTTTTTCAATTTATTTTTTCAATTGTTTAGCAAAAAATAAAAATCACAAAAAGAAAGCTCTATCTGTGTGAAAAAAAATGATCAAAATGTCATATGGGTACAGTGTTGCATGACCGCGCAATTGCCAAAGTGTGACAGTGCTGAAAGTTGAAAATTGGCCTGGGCAGGAAAGGGGTGAAAGTGTCCGATAATAAAGTGCTTAAAGGAGAAGCATGGGATGTAAAAAAACCAAACTCACCTATATGGCTGCAGCACTGGTTCGATGCTGCAGCTGTCCCCTGCCACCTCTAAGGCTAAGAACTGAGATCCCTCAGTTTTCCTCCTTCACTGAACAGAGAGTGGTGACTGTCAGTCACCGCTCTCTGCTGTGCCCCTCCAGCGCTGGGCTGTGGAGGGTCGGGAGTGGGAGCGGCTGGCTCAGAGGTTGTTTCCTACTATTCTTGCTGCCGTCTAACTTTCCTTGTAAAGGCTTTTTAACACAATACATCTTTATTCTCAGGTAAGAATGAAAACTATTTTTTTTATTATTATTTTGTGGCTGGTAGTTAGAATTGCGTTTTGCTGCTGCATGCTCTTTTGTTCTATAGTTTCAGTTACACAAACAATATTTTGTCATTTCAGACCTTAAATTATTGTTTCTAAAGACAATGCATTCGGGATGTTTATTTTTATGTTGGTAATTGAAGGCATAGCTCTTTATTGCTCTGTTTATATTCTTACACTGTTCATTTATCTATGCTTGCCACATAAATATACTCATAAAATACCTGTTTTTCCATTCGGTTCTTGTAGAAGAGGAGTCAGTCAGTAAAAGGCAGCTGATAAGGGGAGAGACATTGCTGAGTTGTTTTTAAAAAGCTCCGGGTCTAGCCTCCTGAAGACTACAATATACAATATACAGTGAAGGAAATAAGTATTTGATCCCCTGCTGATTTTGAGTATTTACCCACTCACAAAGAAATGATCGATCTAAAAATCAAATGGTAGGTGTATTGTAACACTGAGAGACAGAATAGCAACACAAAATTCAAAAGAAATGCATGTCTAACAAATGATGACTAATTTGCATGTTCACGAGGGAAATAAGTATTTACTCCCCTTCACAAAACATGACTTAGTACTTGATGGCAAATCCCTTGTTGGCAATCACAGAGGTCAGACGTTTCCTGCAGTTGGTCCCCAGGTTTGCACACATCTCAGGAGGGATTTTGGCCCACTCCTCTTGGCAGATCTTCTCCAAGTCATTAAGGTTTGGTGGCTGATGTTTGGCAACTCGAACTTTCAGCTCCCACCACAGATTTTCAATCAGATTAAGGTCTGGAGACTGGCTAGGCCACTCCAGGACCTTAATTATCTTCTTCCTGAGCCACCCCTTTGTTGCCTTGGCCATGTGTTTTGAGTCATTGTCATGCTGGAACACCCATCCACGACCCATTTTCAATGCCCTGGCTGAGGGAAGAAGGTTCTCCCCCATGATTTGATGGTACATTGCCCCGTCCATCATCCCTTTGATGCAGTGCAGTTGTACTGTCCCCTTAGCAGAAAAACACCCCCAAAGCAGAATGTTTCCACCACCATGTTTAACAGTTTGGATGGTGTTCTTGGGGTCATAGGCAGCATTCCTCCTCCAAACACAGCGGGTTGAGTTGATGCCAAAGAGCTTTATTTTGGTCTCATCTGACCACAACACTTTCACCCAGTCCTCCTCTGCATCATCCAGATGTTCAGTGGAAAATTTTAGATGGGCCTGGACATGTGCTTTCTTGAGCAGAGGGACCTTGCGGGCACTGCAGGATTTCAATCTGTGTCGGTGTAGTGTGTTACCAATTGTTTTCTTGGTGACTGTGGTCCCAGCTGCCTGGAGATCATTGACTAGATCCTCACGTGTAGTTCTGGGATGATTCCTCACTGTTCTCATGATCATTGACACTCCGCGAGGTGAGATCTTGCATGGTGCACCAGACCTGTTTTGTGTTTCTTCCATTTGTGAATGATTGCACCAACTGTTGTCACCTTCTCACCAAGCTGCTTGGCAATAGTTTGGTATCCCAGTCCAGTCTTGTGTAGGTCTACAATCTTGTCCCTGACATCCTTGGACAGCTCTTTGGTCTTTGCCATGGTGGAGAGTTTGGAATCTGATTGTTTGATTGCTCCTGTGGACAGGTGTCTTTTATACAGGTAACAAAATGAGATTAGCGGCACTCCTTTTAAGAGACTGCTTCTAATCTCAGCTTGTTACCTGTATGAAAGACACCTGGTAGCCAGAAATCCTGGTGAATGATAGGGGATCAAATACTTATTTCCCTCATGGACATGCAAATCAGTGCATCATTTGTTAGCCATGCATTTCTTTTGAATTTTTTGTTGCTATTCTGTCTCTGTGTTACAATACACCTACCATTAAATTTTTAGACTGATCATTTCTTTGTGAGTGGGCAAACATTCATAATCAGCAGGGGATTAAATACGAATTTCCTTCACTGCATACATTGCGTTTTTCAAGTGGTTTTAGCAGGGTTATTGCTGAAGAACTCAGTAATTACCCTGCTACCATTTTGTTCAATGGACAGCCGGCTTTCACATGAAAGCAGTCATAGTGAGTGACTCTTGAGCCGCTGGACTGCTTTCTCGCCACTCGCCGGGGTTTCTCGAGTTTACCGTTAACACTGACTGGTCCAAGAAATGATCCAACAGTGTGACCTCCTCAAGATGGCGGCTATGAAAGACTCTATGGTCTTTGATCTCCTCTATCATGATGGAAGACCGACGCGATGTTGTGATGTTACATTAGGTCGCAGGCGGAAGCAAACACATTTTTTCTTTAGGAAGCAAAAGTTCAAAAACATTTTTTTTAATCAAGTGGTCTTCTTAACCACTTGCACTCCAGGGGATTCACCCCCCTTCCTGACCAGGCCATTTTTTGCGATACGGCACTGCATTACTTTAACTGACAATTCAGCAGTCATGCAACGCTGTACATATATGAAATATATGTCATTTTTTTTCACAAATAGATCTTTCTTTCAGTGGTATTTGATCACCTCTGCAAGGTTTTTTTTTTTTGCTATAAAAAAGATATATTTTTGACTTTTTTTCTATAAAACATATCCAATAAAAAAATTAAAAATCTAATTTCTGTATTCTGTTCCATGTCTTTGCTAATAAAAATCCCAATAATTGTAAATTAATTGGTTTACGTTAAAGTTGTAGCGCCTACAAATGGCAATATATATACTGGAATTTGTATTTTCTTTATACTAGTAATGGCGGCAATCTGCGACTTATAACTGGACTGTGGCGGGCATTCTGACACTGGGGGGAACTGAATAACTGTCACTGACATCCCCAGTGACACCAATACAATGATCAGTGCTAATACAAAGCACTGACACTGTACTAATGGCACTGGGCAGGAAGGGGTTAACATCTGGGGTGATCAAAGGGTTAACTGTGTGCTCTACATTGTGTGCTATGTTTTACTAGGGAGACATGCTGTGCAGAGAGATACAAAGCAGCATGTCCATGCTGACAGGAGAGAGTTTACAGTAGTTTACACAGGTATCTCCCCTCTCAGCCCTGCCGATGATCACCGATTCCTGGCCGGGAATTGCCGGTCAGGACCCGTAATTGGCATCCCCAGCAGCCAATAGTGGCAAGGGCAGGGCAGTGCGAGCATGTGCACCTCCTACATGGGAATACAAATCAGATATATAAACGTGATTTGGCGCAGCCATGCCACCCTGTAGCAGTACTTTTGGTATAGGGCGGATGGCAACCGGTTAAAGAGGACCTGCCATACACATTAATGTTACAAGGGGTGTTTATATTCCTTGTAATAGGAAGTGATTTAAAAAAATTAAAAGGGACAGTGTAAAAAAAAAAAAAATATAATAATAAAAAAAAAATGAAGTGCCCCCATCCCACCGTGCTCACGTGCACAAGCGAACGCAACGTATATTGCATATGTAAATGGTGTTGGCAGCACATATGTTAGGTACCCGCCACGAACATTAGAGTGAGAGCAATAGTTCTAGTGCTAGACCTCCTCTGTAACTCTAAACAGGTAACATGTAAAAAATTTTAAAGCGTCGCCTATGGAGATTTTTAAGTACCTTAGTTTGAGTCATTCCACAAGCATTCACAATTTTAAAGTGTGACATGTTAGGTATCTATTTACTCACCACAACATCCTTTTTCAAACTTTTTTTTTTTTTAAATTGTGGTAATTCTTGTGTTTTGTTTTTTTTTATTTACTAAAATGTATTTTTTGCAAAAAAATTGTGTTTGAAAAACCGCTGTGCAGATACCATGTGACA